GAATTCCCACATTGTTTTCCACAGAGGTTGTACTAGTTTATACTCCCACCAACGGTGTAGAAGTGATCCCCTTTCCCTGCATCTTCTCCAGTACCTGTTGTTTTTAGAGTTATTGATGATGGCCATCCTGACTGGAGTTAGGTTGTATCTCAGTGTGGTTTTAATTTGCATTTCTTTGATGATTAGTGAAGCTGAGCATTTTTTTAAATGTATCTGTTGGCTGCTCAGAATTGGTAAGTGTCTTAAAAGGTGCCTGGAGTCCCCAAAAGTTAGCTTTAAAGGATCATAAGATACTTTGATTTTCCTTTTTTATCCATTATATGATGTTATGCCAGAGTCAGATTGGAAAGTAAACCACATGATATAGTTAATTTAAAAACAAACAGACAGACAAAACAAAAAAACGAACTATCTTTCCAGGTCCCTTAGTTAGGAATTTGGCAAGGTAAAGAGAAAAGGTCAGAGTTTAGTCCTCAAAGCTATTAATGCAATGTCTGGCATGTAGTAGGCACTCAATAGGTCTTAGCTACTATTATTGCTCTTATCATTTTTCAGCATTTTTGTTTGATATAACAAAAGTAAGTTCTGGTGAACTTGACTCTGTAAAGATAATAAAGGGCAAATTTCCTAAAAGAAGGGCATCTTCTGAACTGATTGAGCATAGTTCAGACTGGGACCTGGACAGAGTTAGAGGCCAAGATCAGTAATTAAAGTTGCAGACTGTCTTGTTTTTGATAGATCTCTGTCTACATGAGCCGATAGAGTGTAGCTGTTCAATTGTAGAATAATGGTCTCTAAAACTTGCTTAGCTTCTCAGTAGAAAAAATGGAGAAATTTAAATTTAAAACTCATTACATTAGAGTAGAAGATAGCTCTTTTACAAAGGCATAGGTTTTACTCTTAGTTCATTCATTTTAGTTCTTGCCAGTTTTGTTACTGAATAAACAGACTGCCAGGATTTGGAACATACCGATCATTTTGAACTTTGGACAGTTGGAGGTCCAGGAAGTTTTCACTGGAGATTGATATAATTTGGGTGTCGTAACATCGAGACTAAGAGTGTGGGCTTTGCAGTTCTACAGGCCTGGATTGGAGTCATGACTCTGTCCTTGAACTAGGTGAATCATTGAGCAATTTGCCTGATTTCTCTAAGCCTCAGTTTCCTTGTCTATAAAATCAGGATAGTAAATAGCATCTACTGGTAGATATGCTGGGAGAAGGCTTAAATAAGAGAATGCAAATAAAATAAGTAGCACTGTGCTTACCACACTGTTGGTAGCTATTATTGGAGTACTTTAAAATCACTTCTGCGTGTATAAATAGATCCTTTCCCAGAATCTGATTGGACTAGGGCCTGGAAAGATTGACAAAACTGTCCATAGGTTGCAAAATTGAGAAAATGAAGCTTCCTTGAGGTCTAGAGTTAGGGTCTAGAGTTCTCTGATCTCATTCCTAAATCTGATCTCATTACTGATTTTATAGCCAAAGAGGCAAAAAACCATTTTTAAAATGTCTTAACTTGATAAGATCCAGACCACCCTTCCATAGTCACTTCCATTTGCCATGCGATTAACTTGCCCAAAATTGTTTTTGTCATCCTTTAAGCTAAGAACTAGAAGGCCAGGGTCTAGGATTGCCAGACATGAGCCTCATGGATAAAGCCAGCTTTTAAAAATACATATATAAACTGGGCACAGTGGCTCCGTCCTGTAATCCTAGCACTTTGGGAGGCCTAGGCAAGAGGATTGCCTGAGCTCAGGGGTTCGGACCAACCTGGGCAACTTGTTGAGACCTCATCTCTACAATAAATTAAAAAAATAAGCTGGGTGTCGTAGTGTGTACCTGTGGTTCCTGCTACTTGGAAGTCTGAGGCAGAAGGATCGCCCCAGCAGGTCGAGGCTGTGGTGGCCATAAGCGTGCCACTATACTCTAGCCTGGGCGACAGAGTGAGACTCTGTCTCAAAAAAAAAAAAAAAAAGACATATATAATCTCTTTATTAATCTTAAGGGACATAATAATAACTTACAATCTAAAATTTTAAGAGGAGTAAAAAGAAGCACAAAAGATAAATGAGAAATAGAAAATTTTTAAAAATTTGATTAAAAAAAGAAAAACAATTCAAGTTGAAAGGCAAAGTAAAAGTAGAAAATGTTTTTTAAAAGGCAAGAAAAATATAAGGCCAGAACTCAAAAAGAAATGAAACAGTGCAAGTTAGAACAGAATACTAAAACAGAGCAGAGCTATATAAAACGACAGAAGTTTTAAAAACAAGGTAAAAATATATTCTCCATAAGGTATAGACAGAATTTATCTGAAAGTAGGCGAGAAGCATAATTTTGAAGCGAGTCTGTTAAACTGGAACAATTCAACCAGGTTGATCCTTGGCAGAGGCTGCTAAGGATGGGGCCACCAGTTAATGATATTGACAACCTTTAGCCAGTGAGCCACTCATCAAGGTCCTTTACCCACAGTGTTTTGTTTTTGTTTTTGAGACAAGGTCTCATTCTGTCACCCAGGCTAGAGTGCAGTGACACAATTATGGTTCACTGCAGCCTCATCCTCCTGGGTTTAGGTGATCCTTCAGACTGTAAATATCTGGGACTACAGGCATGTGCCACCATGCCTGGCTAATTTTGTTGTTGTTGTTGTTGTTGCAGAAATGAAGTCTTACTATGTTGCCTAGGATAGTCTCAAAATCCTGGGCTCAATCAGTCCTCCTACCTTGGCCTCCCTGTATACTGGGATAACAGGCATGAGCCACTGTGCCCTGCCTATCTACAGTATTTTGGTCCAGGTTATAGAAATTGTAATCTCTGCACTGCAGGAGAAGAAGCAAAAATTTGGATGTGTACCTAGCCCCACTAGCAGGCAGTGGAGCTGGATTCTGAAGCCCAGACTGACCAAAACCCATGCTTTTATTATTAATTTTTTCCTGCCTTCCAGGAAGCAAAATCATCATCAACAACAAAGATGATATCAGAATCTCTTACCCCTTCATCATTCCCCCACACCTTGTCAAGATTACCTATCCAGTTAAGAGAGAACACCATTCTCAACAAACAGCCCAGCAATAGGGAACGTGCAGTGGGTACCTGTGTATCCTAATAACCCACGGGAGTGTCACATTTTTGGTATTTTCTCCTACCAGTTTGTGTGTGTGTGTGTGCCCGTGCGTGCAAAGTCAAATTAATTTGTCTATGGCTTCTGTAACAAATTACCAATACTTGGGTGACTTAAAACAACAGAAATGTTTTCCCTCACCAATCTGGAGGCCAGAAGTCTGAAATTGGTATCATCAGGCCAAAATCAAGGAGTCAGTAGGACTGTGCTCCCTCCTGAGGTTGGGGGTGGAGGGCTGTTCTTTGACTCTTTCAACTTCCGTGGCCACTGCATTCCTTGGCTTGTGGCAGCCATCACTCCAATCTCTGCTTCTGTGGTCACATTGCCCCTCCTCTGTGTGTGTTAAATCTTTGCACGCCTCTTTTTTTCTTTATTTCAATAGCTTTAGGGGTTATACATAGTTTTCCATTACATGGTTGCATTGTATCATGTCTGCACCCTTCTTATGAAGATATATGTGATTGCATTTAAAGCCTACCGGATAATCTCCCTATCTCAAGATCCTCGATTTACTCACATTTGCAAAGGCCCTTTTTTTATTTTTTTTTTTGCCATGTAAGGTAACTGTTAGGTTGGTGTGCTGGTGCCATGGGAAAGATGCAAAGAATTTCACTAAGAGTAGGTCAGAGAAAGTTTATTTAGAAAGTAGATCAGGGAAAAGGGATGGATTCTCCTCTCCAAGACTAGAGAGAGGTCCAGACTCTTAAGGAATGCTTGGCAGCATATCCTTGAGGTTGAAAGCTTTTAAAGCTTCCCTTGTAGTAGGAACAGGTAAGCATTCTTAGGTGAGATAACATAAACGCTGTTGCCACGGGATGGGGTAGTGGGCTGTGTCACCTTGGTCATGAAGGGCTGATCATGATAGATTCGGTCAGCTTGGCCCTTTGTGGCTGGAAGACAAATACTTTGTAATTAGTACAAAGCATGCTTGAGGGGTTACAAGACAATTATCAGTAATTATCTCTGGGAAACTAGTTTTGTTTTAATGATTATAAGGTGGGTTGAAGTAAGCTGCTAAAAAAGCATGTCAAAGTTAAGCAATGTTAAAATGGCTGTCACTCTCACTAAAGTTACTCCATTTTGGCTTTTCACCCTTTTGGTAACATTCTCAGGTTCGAGGGATTAGGCTGTGGATATCTTTTGGGGAACCATTTTCAGCCTATGGCTAGACTTTTGCAGCCATCTCTGCCTCCTGTTCTCTACCCTATACCCTGACTTCCTTTAAATATGCAGATCATGCCACAGTTCGTTTTAAAGCTCTTCAGAGGTTCCTGGGGCCCTCAGGACCATCCTGATTTTCTGATATGGCCCATGAATGTCCCTCCACCTTCCTGTCCCCACTTTTTCTTTCCTCCTTATGTTCTATCCATGCCTCACTTTCTCCAGTTCCTTGGAGGAACTGAGTTTGCTTTCACCCCTGGGCCTTTGCGCTCCCCTGCCAGCAGCATGTGCCCACTTCCTCGCTTTTGTTTGGGTCACGTGAGTTCATCATTCAGTGTTCATTTAGACTTCACTTCCTCCAGGAAGGCTTGCTTTCCTTGTGCTGAGTGAGGAATACCTCACCTTGACGAGGCAGACCCCTATCACATGTCTGCTTTGTTCATGGGATGTGACCCCTGCATCCAGCACGGTGCCTGACTCACTGGAGACTTAATACATGTGGATGAGAATGCCCTCAGGAGGGTCACCGTTACACCCCTACCAAGAGTAATCCTATGCCAAAGAACACTAATCCATGTAGAAGAGGCTTTGCTGGAGAGATTATACATGTGGATGCCAGAAGTTCCCACAGATTTTTATTTTTAAGCAAAAATCAAGAACCATGTGATTATGAGATCAAAGAAAATATTTTCATGCTTCTTATTCTGTTTTCTTTCAGGCCATTCCTGTGTTTCTCACTTTGCATAATGTAGCTGAAGTTATCATCTGCGGGTACCAGAAGTGTTTTCGGAAAGAGGTAAATGATCATGCAAAATGCTAGCTTTACTTCCCTTGCTTTAAAATTTCAAAGAAGCACTTATCTTTTTATGGCCCAAATTAGTGCCTGCCTTTTCCTGCCATCAGTTTCCAGGCAGGACTGCCTGACAGTGGTCACTGATTTCAAGGAACACAGTTTTCGCTTTGCAGCAGTTCACCAGATGTGCCTGGGAATGCTTATTTTTTTTTGTTGTTGTGGTGGTTGTTTTTTAAGTCAGAGTCTCACTTTGTCACCCAGGCTGGAGTGCATTGGCACAATTACAGCTCACCACAGCCTCTACCTTTCTACCTAAGCCTCTTGAGTAGTTGGAACTATAGGCATGCACCACCAAACCTGGCTATTTAAAAAAATTTTTTTTGAAGGGATGAGGTTTCACTATGTTGCCCAGGCTGGTTTGAACACCTGGGCTCGAGCAGTCCTCCCATCTCTGCCCCCCAAAGTGCTGGAATTACAGGCGTAAGCCATCATGCCAGCTAAAAATGCTTGTTGATGTGAATGGAGCCCAACTCCAGGCCAGAGCTGACCCAGACCCTTGGGAGAGGAGCTTGCTATGGGCCTGGTGGAGAAGCTAATCTCAGCACCACAGGAAAGGGCAGGCAGATTTTCACATAGGGAGTCATAGCACCAGCCCACCTTGGAGAACTTTTCATTCCAATCCCAGCTCTACCTCATATCAGCCAGAACAAGCTCCATCACCCTCTGTCTCCATCTGTGAAAGGCAATAATAATAATAACAACACCCACTCAGAGGGCTGTTGGGAAGATACAGCAACTACAGTGTGACATGCTTCTAGCCATTTCCGGCACACAGTAGGTGCTCTGCACGTCAGCTCTGATTAGTAATATTTTTAGTGGTGCTTTTTTTTTTTTTTTTGAGTCAGAGTCTCACTCTGTCGCCCAGACCTGGAGTGCAGTGGCTGCAGCCTCGACCTGCTGGGCTCTGGCAATCCTTCCGCCTCAGCCTTCCAAGTAGCTGGAACTACAGGCGCGCACTACCACCCCCGGCTCATTTTTTTAAAAAATTTATTGTAGAGATGAGGTCTCGCTAAGTTGCCCAGGAAGGTCTCGAACCCGCGAACTCAGGCAATCCACTCATCTCAGCTTCCCAAAGGCACGGGATTATAGGCTGAACCACCGAGCCCAGCGTAGTGGTGCTTTTAATTTGGTCCCTTTCAGGAGTTCCTCTTCTCTAACATCTGCCCATCTGGTTTCCTATCAATTTTTGGAACTTTTAAACTACAGAGAGGCTAGCTGACCACCTAGGGCCATGTGCTTCTTCCAGGCTTGCAGGGGAGAGAGGTGTCCTTTCCAGGAGTCGAGGCTGTGGCCACAACTGTGTTCCCTCTGTCTCCCCATGGCTCCTCGGAGGCAGCTCTGTCAGTCACCCCTTCTCCCTTGCCGGGTGAGCCTCACTGCTGGCTTATTTTCTCTGAGCCCACAAATCTACTTGGTGTTAGTGCCCTGAGGAGATAGCGGGCTCTGGAAGATTCGCATTTGCCCAACTGTGGAATGGTGTGTTTACGAAACCAACTCGCACACAGGAAAATCTCAGGCTCCTTTGCCTGTGCATTCCCCAACTCTGCCTCACCTTATTCTTCCCTTTCCCAGCCATGGGTCCCAGACATGGCTGGGGGTGGTGTTGTCCATGCCCTCTTGTCCTCATACCCGCCATTCCCGTGAGATAGCTCTGGCTGAAGTCACTAGTGGCTTCATCTCTTTGACTCTTTAAAATGGTTCATCGCCTGCTCCCTCCCTTGGAATCCTTTGGTCCTTTTGGCCTCCGTGCCCCCTCCTTGCCTGACTGTCTTCCTTTTCTTTTTCTTTCCTTTTCTTCACCCGTCCTTCTCCTTTTCCCTTGTCTTCCTCTTCAGGGTCCCTCAGGACTGTGTCTGGGGAACCTTTGTCCTCACGCCACACGCTTTCTGGACAATCTCAGCACACCCATGGAGCCAGCCACCTTCTGCTCATGGGTGACTCCCAGATCCCCGTCTCTCTCCCCCGAGCTCAGATTTCCCATCGAGTCTCCCTGCCGGCTGTCCTCTGGCGCTCCCAGGGCATCTGAAATGGACCTGATCTGTGTTCCCAAACCTGCTCCTCACTTTGTAATCCCAATCCTGTTCACACATCACCTGAGTTGGAAACCTAGGGGTCCCCTGGGACTCCCCAGTCACCCCTCCCCCGACATCCAGTCTATTACTGAATCTATCCCCTCTTTCAATCCTGTGGTTGCTGTCCCTCAAGTTCAGGTCTGCATTTTTGTTCTCGGGGGTGCCCATCTGGGAGCCAAGGAAGGGAGCCTGATCCCCTGAGCCTTCCAGGCAGCCATAGAGGGCCTGGAATGAGCAGCCCTGGGCTTAGAAGAATGTCATTTTCTGTTTGGCCAGCCCCATGGCAAAGACTGGGAGGCAGAGGCCTCTCAGCACTTTTGGCTGATCTCTGTGCAACCGGAGGGGTCTCTGACTCCTCAGAGAGGATGGGCACCTTTCTGTGACATTTTACTTACCACACAATCATGCAATTTCCTTATTTCATCAGTTCTAACATGTGCTTCTTTTTTCCAAATTTGAATCTATTTAAAATGGGGAGGGTCTGGGTGCAGTGGCTCATGTCTGTAATCCCAGTCCTTTGGCAGGCAGAGGCGGGTGGAGTTCGAGACCACCTTGGGCAACATAGTGAAACCTCATCTCTATAAAAAAAAATGAATATAAAAAAAATCAGCCAGGTGTAGTGGTGTGCACCTGTAGTCCCAGTAACTAGGGCTGCTGAGGTGGAAGAATCACCTGAGCCTAGGAGATTGAGGCTGCTGTGAGCGATGATTGTCGTGATCATGCCACTGTATTCCAGCCTGGGTGACAATGAGACACGGACCATAAAATTGATAGGGGGGAGGGTCTTATAATCAGTGATGTGTCCTGGTGTCATTGTTTTCTTTCTTTTCTTTCTTTTTTTTGTGTTGGAGTCTCACTCTGTCACCCAGGCTGGAGTGCAGTGGCATACTCACAGCCACTGCAGCCTCGACCGGCTGGGCCTAGGTGATCCTTCCACCTCAGTCTTCCAAGTAGCTGGAACTACAGGCATGTGCTACCACGCCCGGCTTATTTTTTGATTTATTGTAGAGACGAGGTCTCACCAAGTTGCCCAGGCTGGTCTCAAACCTCCGGGCTTAGGCAGTCCTCTCTCCTCGGCCTCCCAAAGTGCTGAGTTTACAGGCTGAGCCACCAAGCCCAGCCTTCTTTCTTTATGGTACATAAAATAAGGGGAGGTTTTACCATGAGCGGTGTCAGGTTCAGTGTGATATTGGCATCCCCTACCCCCCATGTCTCTGGCCTGCTTCCTGTGAGCCTCTAATGGCAGGGACCACATGGCGCCATGGCACTCTCATCATAGCCCTGGGCTCAGCCCTCAGAACTCGGGCTTATCTATGGAGTCACTCACTCCTGGTCATGCAGCTTCAGGTTCGGAAACTCCCCGAGAGCAATTCAGCCCTAGAAGCCCGACTTGTGCCACTTGAATTTCAAAAATGCTTCCTATTCACAAAAGGGGATACTTTCTTATGAATTCAGAAATGAAGATTTACCTGGTCTAGGGATCGAGACCGAGGCATCTCCAATAGGGTTTTGCTTCCTGATGGGCAAGTTGGATCCTACAGATGAGGGTGAGTGTAGGTCTTGGGACTGGCAGGTCCTCCAGGGATACCTCTACCTAACAGGGGACCCTGCTCTGCTCTAGAGGGCTGATGTCTGGCTGAGAGGACCTCTCTTTGTAAATAAGTAGATGAATACTGTAAGATTTTGAATCTTCAAGTCCATTTCATCACCCACTCAAAACAACATTCTTGTCAGGGAAAATTTTAAAAAATGAGTGGGCAATATTGTTTTTCAGGTATTTTTTTAAAAACCCTTTATTTCTTTTATAAATGTAATAAGGTGTAAGAAGTTGTAAAAAATACAGAGGGGGGGAAAAAACCCAGACATCAACTGTTACCAATTCCCTGAGAACACCGCTCTATTCTTGCTGATTTTTTTCTGTCTACATGTATATAGGTGTATATCTAAATGATCAAATCTACCATTTTCCAGTGAACAATTTGTTAATTTTCCTCTTTCATGTCATCTCTCCACATTGGATGAAGTGTGTGTTGGCTGGTCCCTAGGTGTAGACCTGCAGGTGGTTTCTAGCAGTTCACTGTTAAAGTCTGGTCTGTGATGAAGATTGCTGTGATGTGTTCTTTTTTTCTTTTTTTTAGTTGGAATCTCACTCTGTCACCCAGGCTGGAGTCCAGTGGCATACTCAGCCACTCCAGTGTCGACCTGCTGGGCTTCGGCGATCCTTCCGCCTCAGCCTTCCAAGTAGCTGGAACTACAGGTGCACACTACCATGCCTAGCTAATTTTTGATTTATTGTAGAGACTAGGTCTCACCCAGTTGCCCAGGCTGGTCTTGAACCCACAGTCTTAGGCAATCCACTTGCCTCGGCCTCCCAAAGTGCTGGAATTACATGCTGAGCTACCGAGCCCAGCCTTGTGATGTGTTGTTGACAAAACTTGCATCTCTGACAATACAGCCGAGAACCATGTCATGAGGAACACAGTTGCACCCTACAGACTGTTCAGTGTCAAGGGCTATTTTGTTCTTTATGCATAGATTTTACTAGCATCAATTTTGGAGAGCAAAGTTGACCTCCTTGTGACTTTGTTTCCAGATTATAAAAATAAACCATCTGGAGCTTGTGGTTCATTTTCACCATCCACAACTAGGTCTTTGTGTATGCATGCATACACACACAAAGACACACGTGCACACATGTATACACACGCACAAACCCATGCACACATACAGTTTGACTATAAGGTAAAGTGTGGCTTCTGTAATTAATCTTATAACCTTGCAGACTTATTTATTACAATTTAATATTAGAATACTGCTATGTATTTATTCATTTGTTTGACCTTTATTTAAGTGTATACTAAATGTCAAAATTTTCAAGGCCTAAAGCTGCAGAGATGTAGAAAACACCTTTCTTTTCTCTCTCTCTTTCTTTCTTTCTTTTGAATCAGAATGTTACTCTGTCACCCAGACTGGAGTACAGTGGCATGATTACAACTCACTGCAGCCTTGACCTTGTGGGCTCAGATGATTCTCCCTCCTCAGCCTCCTGAGTAGCTGGGACTATAGGCACGCACCACCATACCTGGCTAACTTTGATTTTTTGTAGAGATGAGGTCTTGCTATTTTGCCCCATCTGGTCTCAAACTCTTGGACTCAAGCAGTCCTTCTGCCTTGGCCTCCCAGAGTGTTGAGATTACAGGTATGAGCCACCACGTCCAGCAGAAGACACATTTCTTACCTTTATAGAACTCAGAGTTGGATGGAGGGGCTGCCCTGTAAACACTGGCTATGATGCCCATAGAATGCCATATGGGCTAAAACAAGGTATGGATGGACCAGGGGTGACAGCTTGAAAGGGTCGGAGAAGACTTCCTCAGGGGCTAGATTTGAGCTGAGTCACATAGGACGAATAAGGATTTTCCAGCTGGACAATGAAAAAGGGTACTTTGAGTAGGCAGGGGAAGCAAGGAATGAAGGCTCGTGGCATAAGGGAACAGCGAGGATCACTGTGGGACTGGTGGCGGGCTATGCAGCTTCCCTCATTTCTCAGGGCCTCAATGCCCTCATCTGTAACATATAACCCGTGGCGTTAATTAACCCCACCCAAGGCTCATAGAGCCCTTAGAATTAAGTGTCAAGGGTCCTCAGAGTAAGTTAGTTTGCCCAGGGGAGTTTTCACTATTGTTGTTTATGGCAGTATGACTTTGAGAAATTATGCTGACTCATTCAGAACCCCGAGGTCTCATTAGGACTTCTTACTCGGTTATTTTTGGACTGAGGGTCCTAAAAGGTGAGTGCCTGACATCAACTCTGTTGTTTTCAGAGCCCCGGGGAAATGGAGCTAAGTCATGAGCTTGTTGCTTTGTTTTTAGGCTTCATCTCTCAAGTTCTGTGCCCTTTTAGCCAAGGAGTTTAAAAAAAAAAAAAAGTCTTTCAGCTGGTCACAATGGCTCACGCCTGTAATCCCAGTACTCTGGGAGGCCGAGGCAAGAGGATTGCCTGATCCCAGGAGTTTGAGGCCTGCCTGGGCAACATAGTGAGACCTCATGTCTACAAAAAAATGTTTTTAAAAAATTAGCCAGGTGTGGTGGGGTGTGGCTGTAGTCCTAGCTACTTGGGAGGCTGAAGTGGAAGGATCGCCTGAGCCTAGGAGATGGAGGCCGCAGTGAGCTGTGATCATGCCACTGCACTCCAGCCTGAGCAACAGAGCGAGACTCCGACTCAAAACTTAAAAAAATAAAATAAATAAAAAAGTCCAAACTCCCCTCCATGGATGGGGTAGATTGTTTCAGGCACTGGATTGCTTTGTTGTCCTATCATGGAAGCCCCAGGACAGCTACTTGGTAGACACAGAAGATGAACTCAGGGAATAGGTGGCATGTCCCTTTAGTCTCCATCCTTTCAATTCCTACTCCTCCACCAGGACTGTTGTGATATCAGTTATATTTAGCTCAGAATCTATTCGAACATGTGTAACACAATGGGGCAATTATCTGAGCCCTGATCACCTTGGCTTTCAACCCTTCTGTGCTTGCAGGCTCTCTTTCCACCAGGTGGCAGCACTATCATAGTTGGCCTTGCTTCTTACGCTCTGAGGGATGGGGTTGGACAAAGGTTCCAGGTTAAAGAATCGAAGGACGCAGCCACAGCTTTGCACACAAATAGAATCTGTGTATCCAAACAGCGAACACTTAGTTATGTAGCAACACATGAAAGCTTAAGATAAGCCTTCACCACAAGCCTTCTCTGTTTCTCATGTCAACTCTTCACTTCTAAACAATGTGTTCCTATGTCACACTTTATCTGAACGGGTGTCAAAAATTGTAGCATGTTCCCAGCAAACAAAATATTTCTTCCGAAATGTTCAGAATTAATCCAGCATCCTACCTGTCTGATTCTTCTATCAAATGTTTAAAAATCTGGTCTGGGCGTGGTGGCTCACACCTGTAATCCCAACACTTTGGCTGAGGCGGAGGTGAGAGGATTGACTGAGCCCAGGGGTTCCAGATTAGCCTGGGCAACTTTGTGAGACCTCGTCTCTACAATACATTTTTAAAAACTAGCCAGGCATGATGATGCATGCCTGTAGTTTCAGCTACTTGGAAGGCTGAGACAGAAGAATCGCATGAGCCCAGCAGCTCGAGGCTGTGGTAGCTGTGAGGGTGCCACTGCACTCTAGCCTGAGTGACAGAGCAAGACTCTGAATAAAAAAAAAAAAATGAAAAAGAAAAATCTGTGTTACTCCCTGTACTGATTAGTTCTCAGAATAATTAAAAAGATTTGATAAAGGGTAGAGTCCAATTTAGAATTTCTTCGTTTCAGGGAGCTTTAAATGCCAAGTCTATATCCCCTTCCCCCACCTGCCTCTTTTTTTTTTTTTTTTCTTCTTTCCAGGGGGAGTAAAATAACCCTTCTCTTTTTTCTGTTTCTTAATTTTCACATCATAGGATAATTTATAGGCCCGCTCAGAGTCAGAACTGTATTAATGAAAGGACTATTTAAAGAGACAGAGCTTGAACAGAAGTTGAATGGAGCTTAATTGCTTTTTAATACAGGTTGCATCAGTTTTTCTCTCCTTTTCTAGGTGTGTAAGATTGTTGAAGACATGTTTTTCATGGGTAAACATGGTTCAAATGGTGAAAGTGCTTTGCCAAAGTGACTCAATCTGGAACTCTGAGTCATCCTTCATTTGGTCCAAGCAGAAAAAGCCTCAATAAATACTTAAGTGCAGCAGCTGTTAAGCCCCTAGTAAACGTACTTATAATTTATTTGCCCCTTGATCTAAATGTTTTCTTTTAAGGGGAATAAAAAAGAGTTTTAAAAGTCTAATTATAAGTTTCTTTCCTTTCATACAGAAAACATCTCCTGCAAAGATCTGTAGGTAAGTTAAAAAAAAACCAAAAAACTCTAATATGGGCTGGGCACAGTGGGTGTCTCACGCCTGTCATCTCAGCACTTTGGGAGACTGAGGTAGGAGTATTGCTTAAGCCCAGGAGTTTGAGACCAGCCTGGGCAACATAATGAGACCTTGTCTCTACAAAAAATCATAACATTAGCTGAGCGTGGTGGTAAGCGCCTGTAGTCCCAGCTACTCTGGAGGCTGAGGTGGAAGGATCACCTGAGCCAATGAGTTTGAGGCTGTGGTGAGCCATGATCGTGCCGCTGCACTCTAGTCAAGGCAATAGAGTGAGACCCCAACTCAAAAAAAACAACAACAAACAAACCCCAAAAAACCCAACAAGCCTAATATAAGATTTAACCTCATCTTGTCTTGATGATAAGCCAAAGTTTGTTGAAGATTCGTACTCTGGGGGCTGACATATATATTCCTAATTTGTGCTTATCCTAAAATTTCCTATGTCTCTTTTTTTTTCAGAAATATTTTATTCTTTAGGGGAAAATAAACAAGAGCAACCCATGCTAGATTTCAGTCATTGATGCCCAAAACTTCACTAACAGTTGTGGAATGCTGATGGGGACCAAAAAGGAAAAACATGGCAACAACTTAAAATTTTAAAAATAATATTTGCTGTTTATTGGGCCTTTAGATTTTCCATGTTGGAAAAGTCACTTGCTTGTGAGTCCTGGGATCTGAATTATGGTCCTGGGACACAGCAAACTGAGTTTGGGCAACCTTCATCATCCTCTGTGCCTCAGTTTCCTTAGCCAGAGTGTGAACTGGGCCAGCTTTCATGTAAATCCCTCTCCCTCCAGCACTCTAATTCTTACCTGGGTGCTTTGTGCTCTGACTAATTCCTGCTTCCGCTGCAGTAGCTAGGAAGCTCAGTCCTGTAGCTAGAAAACCAACCGAGATGCTTAAATAAATAAATAAATTGAGGATTTTTGTTTCAGATATATCCAGGCTTTCATCCAATCCCCTTGCCCCTTTTTTGCCCTTATTATAAGCTGCAACTCGAAAGAGAAGACAAAACCTCAGGATTCCTCTTCTTGTTTAAAAGGAGATTGGCAGGTGTTAAGGAGAGGCATTATGAGAGCCTACTAACACCTGATGTCATCAAGGTCTTGTTCAAGGCCAAGTATGGTGGGAAACCAGGTAGCTGCCTCACCCGAGTGTCCTGTCTTCCCCAACCTCTGTCTGTTGGAGGGCATCGCTAATGTGTATCCCTGTGGATGGGGAAGTGTCTAGCATTCAGTGAAGCCTTTCACTACAGGTAGACGCCAAACCCATCAGGGTTCTCCGATTCCTGTGCAGTCCCAGGAGGACAGTCTCCCTTCCCCCACCCCACTGTGCTTTGGATTCTTCTCCAGGTCATTTGTGTGTGTGCCTTGTGTGTGTGCCTTGAAAGGTGGCAAGCCTAGAGGAGTAGGGTGGACTGGAGTAGAGAAGTGTCCCAAGCCTCAGGATGTCCTGATCTTCCCAAGGCTGCGGTCCCCAGCTCCAAGGGTTCCTCCATGTCAATCCTCCTGCCTTTGGCCCAGCCAGCTGTGCTAGTCCACCCAGAGCAGTAGACAACAACATGTGGTTATAGCAGTGAGAACTGTCAGAATCGACTAGCATCACCGTTTTAGTGTACTAAGATGTACTGAGATGATAAGTACCAGGTTGTTGTATGTTATGTATCTATGATATATGTGTGTATACGGTAAGTCCCATACATACAAACCTTCAAATTGTGAATTTTTTTTTAAATTTAGTGAACCTTCTTTTTTTAAAAAATTATTTTACTTTTAAAATGTGGGGTACAAATGAGCTCTAGGTACATACATGGTCATCATACAGGTAAAGTGTGGGTACCCTTATGCGAACTTTCAAAGATGCAAACATGTTCGTGTGTCCGATCACATAAGTTAGTTCACATATCTGGCATACATTGTCACATGCATGCATCCTCTACAAGTGGTTGTGCTTTTGTGTGCCTTAGAGTACAGTAGTCCAGTAGTATATCATAAACCTATTGCAGTACAATATTATATAGCTGATTGTGTTATTTGGGTACCTAGGTTAACTTTGTTGGACTTATGAACAAATTAGACTTATGAATGCACTCTCAGAACAGAATTTGTTTGTATGAAGGGGACTTACTGTATATATAAAACATATAGACTCTGTATAGAATTCTCTATGTATATAGAACACATATTAACATGTATATAGAGCATGTATATAATGATATATGACAAAGTCCCCTGAAAGTGAAAATGCTGTATTTGGCGTCTATACACTGAATTCAGTAACTGATTATCAGTAGAGCACATCACTGAAAATGACATAGGCGCCAGGCTCGGTGGCTCAGCCTGTAATCCCGTGCTTTTGGGAGGCTGAGGTGAGTGGATTGCCTGAGCCTGTGGGTTCGAGACCCACCTGGGCAGGCGAGACCTCATCGCTACAATAAAATCAAAAAATTAGCCGGGTGTGGTAGCGCGCGCCTGTAATTCCGGCTACTCAGAAGGCTGAGGCGGAAGGATCGCCGGAGCCCAGCAGGTCGAGGCTGCAGTGGCCGGGAGTGGCCACTGCACTTCAGTCTGGGTGACAGAGTGAGACTCCAACTCAAAAAAAAAAAAAAAGAAAATGATATAGGCAGTCAGATTCTCAGAGGATGAACAGGGGAATGGGGTTGACCCATGGAATCTTTGCCTCATCCAAACTCCAGTGGATACATGGTTGCATACAGTGGGTGCATATGCACACATAAACCCATGTGAATATCACACAAAATATATAGTAATGTAATATTATTCTTACTCTTCTTTTTTCTGAACCATTTGAGAATAAGTTGCAGAGATCATGACTCTCCTGCATACTTAAAAATGTATCTCCAAGAAACAACAATCCCTTATGTAATCAAACGGTAACTGTTAAATTTAGAAAATTAACATCTGATATGATACCATCTATCTGTGTTTCTTTTTCCCTTCTTTTTTTGAGTCGTGGTCTCATTCTGTCACTCAGGCTGGAGTACAGTGGCACATGATCACTGCTCACAGCAGCCTCGACCTCCTGGGCTCAGGTAATCCTTCCACCCCATCCTCCTGAGTAGCTGGGACTACAAGCGTGTGCCACCACACCCGACTAATTTTTTTTATTTTTTGTAGAGATGAGGTCTCACTATGTTGCCCAGACTGGTCTCAAACTCCTAGGCTCAAGTGATCCCCTAGCCCCAACCTCCCTAAGTGCTGAGATTACGGGTGTGAGACACTGCGCCTGGCCAGATATGATACTATTAGCTAATATTGAGTCCATGTTCAAATTTTGCCAGTTATCCCAGTATTGTCTTTTATAGCAATTTTTATCCCAGAGCTGTCATGTCTCTTTTATGTCCTTTAATCTGTAACAGTTCTTCAGCTTTTCACTGTCTTTCATTGCCTTCACATTTTGAAGAGGATAGGCCTGTTTTGTGGGCTGTCCCTAAATTTGGATTTGTCTCAGTGTGTCCTCATGATTCAATTTGGGTTCTGTAATTTTTGGCAGGAATCCTGCCTGGGTGAGGATGTGTCCCTTTGAGTATATTATATTGAGAGGTACATGATGTCGATCTGTCCCATTCTCAGAGATACTAAGCTTGATAATTTGCTTATGGTGGTGCACAAAGGATTTTAATGTGCTTTCCTTGGTGTTTTCATTTTTGTAACTGGTATATTTGTGATCTGATTGCCTAGCTCTCCACTGGTGTATTTTTGGGGATGTGTAGTTGAGAAAAATCTCCTTTTAGTAGATATTTCACAGGCATGCTATTTTTCTCGAGTGAGCCAGCTGTGGTTTTGCAGATGTCCTGCAAACGCCTGACTCTGGGAAATGGCTAGCTTAGGCCCTGAGAAGGAAATATCTGGCTATCAGTGGAGCACATCAGTGAAAATGACGTTGGGAGTCAGGCTCTCAAAGGATGTACAGGGGTACTGGTTGATCTCACAGGCTCTTTGCCTCATCCAAACTCCCATGGATGCGTTTCAACCTTCACACTCAGGAAACTCTTTGATGTTGAAAGGTGGAGCCTCAGTGTTTTATCTCCCTCTCCGCAGTGCCCTCTTCCTCCTGGCTGCAGCAGGATGCCTTCCCTTCAACGACTCCCAGGTAAGTCCAGGTGAACTCATTTTGCCTTCAAAGTATCTTTATTCTCTAAAGCCTGTGTGCATGACCAGAATTTCCTAGTCGTCCCTTTAGAATCAGGTTAACCTGTCCTATGCAAAAGCATTCCAAAGCTGTCAGCCTGGGTAGCTCTTAGCCCGGCCAACACCTCTTCCCAAGGCCTCTGCCTTCTCTCCGAGGCTACAGAGCTCTGGGTGCAGTCTGTCGTCTGTATGCACCTGCTGAACCTGCAGGCCAGTGTCCAAGGTGTCCCAGCTTCAGGCATTGAGGCTGACTTTTCCTCTCATCCCAAGTGATGTTCATTTTATTATTTTTTGCCAAAGTTGAGTTTTCTTTTCTTTCTCCTCCCCACTCTCCCACCGAAGTTGAGTTTTCTATATGAGACACTGAGGACCCACCCCGGCCCTCACCCCCAGTCATCATCTCATTTCTGGGTTTCCCTCTCTCCTTTACTCTCCTGGTGTCATTAGTCCCTACCAAGTGTCAGGCTCTGGGGACACAAAGAAGATTAGACTTTGCCCAGGTAGAAGTCAGAGTCTATTTGGATCAAAGGGGAGGGAAACAGATGAGTAATCAGGTCATTCTAAGACGGGGAGACCAGGGCTCTGTCCTGGAGGTCTGGGGTGCTCTGAAGTACCTAGGAAGGCTTGGAGACTCAGGAGGTAGGAAAAGCTAACAATGACAGGGCACCTGCTGTGTGCCAGGCTCAGTGCCAAGGCTGGAAGTGCTTTATTTAAAATCTCACATCACTGAAAGGGTAGGGACTATTATTATCTTCATTTCATCGCTACAGGGTAAAGAGGCCCGAAAGGTCACCAGCTAACAAATAAGTGGGGGGTTTAGCATTTAGTCCAGATCCCTTTGATGCTAGGACCAGGCTCTGCTTACTGGACTTTAATCTGGAAGGATGAGGAGGAGTTAGCTGGAGTAGAAAGCAGGCGAGGGCAGAGCCCTGGAGTGTCATGAGTATTTTGTGATATGACTTTATTGAGCAGCTGCTGTGTAGCTTTCCCTGTTCTAATTCCTGGCCTCCTGGAATTTATAGTCCAGAGAAGGGCAGGTGGAGACAGAGACAGATAAACAAAGAATAAAGAAGAAATTCTTCTGCGAAGCCAAAGAAACTATCAAGAGAGCAGGGAGATGCCCCACAGACTATATTTTTGCCAACTGTATGTCTGACAGAGGCCTAACATCTAAGATCTACAAGGAACTCAAATGTGCCAAATAGGAAAAAACAAACAGCCCCCCCTTACAAAGTGGGCAAAAGATATCAATAGACAGTTCTCAAGAGAAGATGTATGAGCAGCCAACAGATACATGAAAACATGCTCAGCCTCACTAGTCATCAAAGAAATGCAAATTAAAACCACACTGAGATACCACCTAGCTCCAGCGAGGATGGCCATCATCAATAACTCAAAAAACAGCAGATGCTGGAGAGGATGCGGCGAAAAGGGAACACTTCTACACTGCCGGTGGGAGTGTAAACTAGTACAGCCTCTGTGGAAAACAGCATGGCGATTCCTAAAAGATCTCAGAATCGACCTTCCATACTACCCTGCAATCCCCCTATTGGGAATATACCCAGCAGAACTCAAATCACTCTATAAAAAAGATACCTGCGCATGTATGCTTATTGCAGCATTGTTCACAGTAGCAAGAACATGGAACCAACCGTGTTGCCCATCAAAAGAGGACTGGATCAAAAAAATGTGGTACATATACACAGTGGAATATTACGCAGCCATAAAGAAGAACAGAATCAGGAACTTCACAGCGACCTGGATGGACTTAGAATCTATAATACTGAATGATCTTTTACAGAAACAAAGAAATGAGCATCACATATTCACTCATAAGCAGACCTTGAACAATTATCATAATACTTTAAGAAAAGGATTGGCAGTAATGAGAAACTGCTGGGAGGGGGATGGGGAAGCAGGATTGGCAGTAGTGGGAGTCTGCCTAGAGAGGGAGGGGCACCCCTCATCAACAAGGGTACCTGCGTAATGAGCATTTGTATCCCTAACCCTGAATTGTATCCCACATCTTTACAATTAAAAAAAAGATTAAAAATTGTGAAAAAAGAGAAGAAATTGAGTGTGTCGGATAATAGTCTGTGGAGAATAGTAAGGGAAGGAGCAGAGGGAGTCCCCTCGGCTGAGTTACAGGGGGACACGTTCGTGCTTGGGGGAGTGCCAGTCTTCTTTGATGGGCATGGGGAGGTCTGGAGATGCAGCTGAAGAGTTGACGGGCTTATCATGGAGGTCCTAGGTGGTGTGAGTTGGGATTTGAGCACGGCATGATGGCAGTGTGATGGCAAGGGACTGCTGGAGGCAGAGTTCTGCTAGGAAGAGGTTGTAGGTGATGGGATAAGGGGGCCTGAGGGACTGACTGAGGCCCCAAAGTCCTGTCTGGGAGCCCTTGCTTAGACACTCATTGGCGATGAGGGTTTCCAATTGCCACACTGGGTCCTGTTTGCCTGTACTTATTGCCATTTTTTTCTTTTTTGAATCCTGTTTCCAGTTTGATCCAGATGGATATTTTTGGGCTGTAATTCACTTATTCTGTGTAGGTAAGTTTTAAAAGAATGCTTCCTTAAATAATTGAGCTTGATTACTTAGACCTTATTGTGTATCCACTTTTAGTGGCCCCAGACAACAGGCAAATTAAATTCAAGGTGTCAAGGTTAAAATTAAATGGTCGTTCCTTCATTTTCTTTTTGGAGTTTTCCTCAAATGTTTCCATTTCCAATGTAGTTCCCTCTTTTTCATAACAAACATTAAGTCATCATGTCTCGGGGGTGCTCGAGTCAGCTTGTGGCATGTGGCTGGTCTCTGAAAATAGTGGGAGGATATTTAGAAGCTCATGTCAAAACATTTACTTTCAGTAGTAGACTAAAAAAAGTCAAGTTGGTGGAATGAAAGAACCATCTGATTTTATTTCAAATTGTGTGGTTAGTGCTGCTTATCTGTAGTCTTGGGGGGAAAATAGTGCCCTCAACTAAGCACGGTGGCTCACGGCTGTAATCCTAACACTTTGGGAGGCAGAGGTGAGAGGATTGCCTGAGTCCAGGGTTTCGAGACCAGCGTGGGCAACTTGGTGAGACCTTGTCTCTACAGCAAATCAAATAAATTAGCTGGGTGTGGTGTCATGTACCTGGAGCTCCAGCTACTTGGAAGGCTAAGGTGGAAGGATCGCCTGAGCCCAGGAAGTTGAGGCTGTGGTAGCCGTGATTGTGTCACTGCACTCCAGCCTGGGTGCAGAGTGAGACTTTGACTCAAAAAAAGAAAGAAAAAGAAATGCAGCCCTGACTTTGTTAACACAGTTCAGAAATGTTCAGAAATTCAGGGATGTTTCTCTTTCTCACATGCATCATGTAAAGGAAGTAAAGCCTTCCTGTCAATTGCTTCCTTCCTTGGCATGACGCTTTCCCTGCCCAGCACTCTCTGTGGGCCACTGGAAGGACTGACTGCATTGTCATGAAGGAGTATGGAACTCACACTCTTGAAACCATCCAAATATTGTTGGTTTCCTCCTGTCAGCTGTGTGACAGGGTAAAGGGACCAGCAGCCGCACCTTTGGGGCCCTTCTCCATGTGGATTTTGGGTTTTCCAGGAAATTCAGGGAGCTCTTTGAGCAGAATGCCATGATTCGTGACACATGTTCCTTCATTTTCAGGGACTTATAAAATTCTACAGAAGTCCCAGAAACCCAGCGCCTTAAGGTAAACTCTTAATGTTTGGTGAGCTGTTGTTTTGTTAAAGGTAAGGGATAAGACCCGTGATGACCCGTGATATCGTGAGATTTTATTTCAAGTTATATGGTTAGTGCTGCTTATCTGTAGTCTTAGGGAGGAAAATAGACTGCAGGTCTGGGTTGTGGTGAAGGCCGAGGACTTAATCTTCAAAGTCTCTCCTCTTGCTGCTTGGGCCACTCCGGACTGGGCCCATCAACACCTGTAACGTGTCAGCCTCAGAGATGTGTGAGGAGGCATGGAAGTCTCCTTCCTTCAGGGGCACCACTTAAATGACATTCTAATGAAATGTTTGTGATGACTGTCTTGGGCCCTAGCTGTTTACATCCCGCTCCAGGGAACAGTGCTTTATTCTTGTTTCCCGACTCCTTCCTGACTTGACTCAGTTTAGACTCAGAAGTCTCCCCAGTTCCTAGCCCTGTTCTTGGGTATAATGAAGCCTTTGTTGCTGGCAGTCAATGGAACAGCCTTGGTGAATGTAAATGAAAAAAGATGATAATTTAGGCCTGGAGCTGAGAGGTCAGAGTCCCTAGACTGGCCGGCTGGCCTCTGGGCTTGGGCGTGTGCTGAAGGCCTACAAAGGAAGGGTCTGAAGGGAAGAATCTTGAGAGAAGGTCACACCTCTGAGAACATGGGCTTTCACTCCCTACAGCACCTTTTGTTCTTTTGATAAAGTGTTTTTGCAGTGAGAAGCCAGTGGAGTTGCCAGATAAAATACAGGATGCCCAGTAACATTTGAATTTCAGATAAGCAGCGAATATTTTTGTTTGTTTGTTTAGGTATGTCCCATGCAATATTTGGAACATACAGTACTTACACGAAAGCGTTACGCTTTATCTGAAATTCAAATGGATTTGAGCTTTATCTGAAGTTCAAATGGATTTGAGCACCATGTATTTTTATTGGTTAAATATTGTAGCCCTGGAAGCCAGTACAGTGGTCTGAGGTAGTTGACCCTCCTTTGAAAGTGGCAAATGTACCCATGAAGACAGTGGACCACAGGTGAAAATGTATGATCGCCCTCAACTAGGACATGCTTCTAAAAAAAAGAACCAGGAACTGGTTTAGAATATAAAACACCCTTCTTCCACTTATTGACAGTTATAAAAGTAATAACTTAAGTAGAGAGATAGAATTGACTAATAGAAGATGATGACTATTTTATGTTATTTTAAACACTTTTATTATTTCACTTGTTTCATCTTTCTTTTCTCTCTCATTTCTTAGTGACATTGACCAGCAGTACTTAAACTATATCTTCAGGTAAAATATAATCTATATTTTAAAAATTTTTATTTTCCAATATTGTTTTGATTAAAGATTTCTGAGCCAGTGTGCATGCTAGGAAGGCAACTTGTGAGATGACCAGAGTTGAGGAAACCAAAGAGTAGTCCTTCCCTTAGCCTGAGCAAGAGGGACCTCTGATGGACCCTGAACTGGGAGGGCCACTCCCTTCCCTGAGTCTGTCTTTGCGGCTCATTCCCAACAAGGAGTGTCCAAAAAAGAATGTTAGTGGGAGAGGGCGTAGGTGGAGCCTAGCCTAGTGGGCTCAGGTGTCCCTTGAGTTGAAGGATGGGGTGGAGAGAGAAGGGTGTGCATTGGCAGCTGGGAGCCAGAGGCTGCCCTCTGTTGCCACATTCTGCAAGAAGCACCAGAAGTCCAAGAATTCTACATTTTATTTTTATTTGTTTTTCTTTCTTTTATTATAAAGATGTAGAGTATAAGTCAGAATTAGGTGCATAGGTAATCTGCATGCAGGTGAAGTTTGGGCCTCCCACTGTTCCTCACTTCCCTTGGTTTAGAATCAGGTATCTTTAGTGATGTTATGTGCCTGCCCCCCGCCTGCCAAACTCTAAATTTTAATCTAGATGGCAGAGTGTTTTGAATGTATACTCATATTTGTTAAGGTAGGATCAAGTTTGAAGCTTGATTTAGAATTTTTTTTGAGTCAGGGCCTCACTCTGTTGCCCAGGCTGAAGTGCAGTGGCATGATTATGGCTCTTTGCAGCCTCGACCTCCTGAGCTCATGTGATCCTTCTGCGTCAGCCTCCTGAGTAACTTGGACTATAGATGTGTGCCACCATGACTGGCTGATTTTTTGATTTTTTTTGTAGAGGTGAGATCTTGCTATGTTACCCAGGCTAGTCTTGAACTTCTGATCTCAAGTAATCCTCCCACCTTGGCCTCCCAAAATTCTGGGATTACAGGTGTGAGCCACCGTGTCTAGCCTGTAACTTTTAAATATGGTATATGGGCTTCTGTTTGTACCCTTGCAAATGATGAATGAACTTCTAAAAGCAAGCCAAGCAGAGATGGACCTGGTAAATAGAAGAGCTTGGGTGTGAGTCATCCCAGACCATGCTACAGGCACCTGATTGAGAAACAAAGTGAGATTTACTGCTGGGAACCAAAGTTGGCCTAATGCAGTGACGTTCAGTAAAGAGGACCAAGGTTCGAGATGTGCCTCAGGGTTTGGTCATGCTGGTTTCTGGAGGACATGACTCAGCTCAACGATGAGTTGTGCATTTGCAGATAGAGCTGTAGCTATCTTGGTATTTATTAAAATGCCTTTTTGAAAGCAAGATTCACCCCAAACATGGTTGTGGGCGTCTTTTATACCCAACAGAGGATGATCATTATTTCCACTCTGCTCTGACCCACCAGCTGGCTTTCAAGAGACTTTTCTGAAAATGCAAGAAGGCTGTTGGGTGTTTCAAGTGTTTCCATGACGCATCGGGCACTTGAGGCAGTTCTTTTTCTCCACAGAAAGTATAGTTACATCAAGTAGCAAAGGAATATGGGACATGGACAGTGAGCCTCTGTGACCCAAGCCAGTTGTGTCCTCTGCCTCTTGTCCCTGCTCCTTCACCGGGCATGAGGATATTTATATATAGGGCTGAAATTAAGTGGAACTTCTAAAAGCAAGTGTGGCTTTTATCTGCATTTTGAAAATTATTCAGTATATATTCACAGAGTGAATATTAGGGAATGTTCCAGGAGCATCATTTCTTTTTCATATAAGGCAGACTCTAGTCTCTCCCAGTCTATTAAGTAGAAAATTACCCTAGTGTTACCTGTTCACATGCCACTTCTTTATTTTGCAGATGTGTGTGTGTGTGTGTGTGTGTGTGTGTGTGTGTGTGCGCGTGCGTGTGTGTGTGTGTGTCTGTGTGTGTATCTATCTCCAAGGGGAATAGACAGGTATTCTTTTTAGGGTATGACTTAGTAAAACAAAAAAATGTATATTGGAGTTTAGTATGTAGAGATTATAGTTTCATCATATTTTCCCATTTTGTTTTCTGTGAACATAGGGATGTTTTCTATTTTGATAACTACTGTACTTCCAGGTACAAGAATAGTACCTGGCATATATTAAACACTCAATAAATATTTATTTATTTACTTATTTTTAAATCAGAGTCTCACTCTGTTGCCCAGGCTGGAGTGCAGTGGCACGCTTATAGCCACCGCAACCTCAACCTGCGGGGCTCAGGCGATCCTTCCACCTCAGCCTTCCAAGCAGCTGGAACTACAGACATGTACCACCACGCCTGACTAATTTTTTGATTTATTGTAGAGATGAGGTCTCGCTATGTTGCTCAGACTGGTCTCGAACCTCTGAGCTCAGGTGAGCCTCATGCCTCTGCTTCCCAAAGTGCTGGGATTACAGGTGTGATCCACTACACCCAGCCTCAATAAATATTTATTGAATGATTTGATTTTAAGAAATCTGTTGTTTATCTGGCATGATCTGCCTCTTATATTTGTATAATTTTCTCATTAGAGTATGCATGTAATTTATATAGGGACTTCCACTTTGGGAAGCCTAGGCAGGAGGATTGCTTGAGGCCAGGAGTTTGAGACCAGCCTGGGCAACATAGTGAAACCCCATCTCTACACAAAATTTAAAAAAATTAACCAGCATATGCACCTGTAGTCTCAGCTATTCGGGAGGTTGAGAACAGAGGCTTGTTTGAGCCCGGGAGTTCAAGGCTGTAGTGAGCCATGATTGTATCACTGCACTCCAACCTGGGTGTTAGAGTAGGACCCTGTCTCTTAAAAAAAAAAAAAGATAAAGAACTATAAGGAACTTCAAGCTACATTTTTCTTTTACTACAGGCATACACCATCATGCCTAGCTATTTTTTTTTTATGGGGGGGAGAGGTTAGAGACAAGGTCTGGCTATGTTGTCTATGCTCTCAAACTCCTGGGCTCCAGCAATCCTTCTACCTCAGCCTGGGCTGATGGGTGTGAGCCACCCTCGTGCCCAGGCAAGAGTGTACTTACTTTAAAAAAATCTATATTTCTCTTCAAACATATTCCCACCGACATACACCTAGAGGTGATTAATTGCAATTCAGAAAACCTTGAGCACCTGCTATACGTCTGTCAAAGTGGTTCTTGCCCCCCACGGAGCTCAAAGTACAGAGTACCACAGAAGGAGAAGGATGAAAAGAAGAACTGACAGGAACATTCTTTTGACGTGAGCCACACCATCCCTGACATCTTCCCATCATCCTTTCTGGAAACCTCTCTCATCCCCTTACACCCTGTGCAGTGTCTTCATGCCACCGAAACCCACTGCAGTAGACCCAGTCTCACTCTCGGCACTCTCTTCTATCAAAACTCCATGCCGCCAGGCAGCTGATCTAGCTAGAGGTTAGGAATAAAGCGTGTTATCTGAGAGGGACATTTTTCTTTGAAGTGCTGAATGGTCTCCTCCAGTATGAGTGAGGAGTGGTTTAACACTATATTTGCAAAGTTACAAAAGGGATTAGAAAACCATTTATTTCATGTAATGATTTCTTCTCTTTACCCCGTAATATTTTATTTTAAGTCACCCTTTGCGGGGGTGCTTCTGATACTGGGATTGGAGGTACCACAGTAGGCCCTGGGAGATATTTGGGGATGGAAAGAGGCCCCATATCCAACCATCAGAGCACTAACTTCTCCTAAAGTTATAGCCAAAAGGAATCTAGGGAGAAAAAATAATGGCTTATGTTCAGGGTGTGTGTTTTCCAAAGGAAACCGAGATAGCAAGCAGAGACTTTCTGAGCCCCTACTAAGGATGAACCATTACACCATCTCCAGTGTCACCAGTAGGGCATGCGTTTTTACAGCTATATACAAACGCTGTCTTACAAACCTGTGACTTCTGAATGACTGGACATGTGGCTCCTCTCTATCGCCTTCTCTCTCACCCCCATCCTTCGGCCTCTGTCCACACTGCTGTGGCTCCGGGGCCATCGGAGAACCTGTGCCTTCAAGGAAGAGCAGAAGAGGAACCTGAGAGACACGGAGATGGTTCAGGTTTCCCTGCCCACGACTGCCTCTGATGCCACCACCAGTGGTCCCTAGCAGTGGCTTGCAATCCTTGTGTACTTTATTTTACTATTACAGTTTTTTTGAGTCGGAATCTCACTCTGTCACCCAGGCTGGAGTGTAGTGACATGCTCATGGCCACCACAGCCTCGACCTGTTGGGCTCAGGCGATCCTTCCACCTCAGCCTTCCAAGTAGCTGGAACTACAGGCAGGCACCACCACGCCTGGCTAATTTTTTATAGAGATGAGGTCTTGTCACGTTGCCCAGGCTGGCCTTGAACTCCTGGTCTCAGACAGTCCTCTTGCATCAGGCTTCCAAAGTGCTGGAATTATAGGTGTGAGCCACTGTGGCCAGCTCAGTGTACTGTATAGCCACTGGAGCCATAACCAGGTAAAACAACGGATGCCTGCACTGTGCCCTGAGAGATTCTGATTTAAGCCAGATCTCAGTGCTACTCTGATATGCAGCCAGGGTTTAGAACCAGAGGAGATCATCCAGCACTTAAAAAATTCCTTCCCAAGCTGGGCTCGGTGGCTCAGCCTGTAATCTCGCACCTTTGGGAGGCGGAGGTGAATGGATTGCCTGAGCCCGTGGGTTCGAGACCCGCCTGGGCAGCGAGAGCTCATCTCTGCAATAAATCAAAAAATCAGCCGGGCGTGGTAGCGCATGCCTGTAATTCTGGCTACTTGGAAGGCTGAGGCAGAAGGATCGCCGGAGCCCAGCAGGTCGAGGCTGCGGTGGCCGGGAGCGGCCACTGCACTCCAGTCCAGGCGACACAGTGAGACTCCAACTCAAAAAAAAAAAAAAAAAAATTCCTTCCCTCTCATACTTAAATAATGTGTTTTATTGCCAGCCTCTAACTAGATGAACTGCCTGGTGGCGTGGAACTTTCTGTTTTGTTTTTTGTTTTTGTTTTTTTGAATCGGGATCTTACTCTGTCATCTAGACTGGAGGGTAGTGGCACGCTCCATGGCACACCGCAGCCTCAACCTCCTTGGCTCAGGCAATCCTTCCTTCTCAGTCTCCCAAGTAGCTGGGACTACAGGTGCATGCCACCATGCCTGGCTTATTTTTTTTATTTTTGTAGGGACAAAGTCTCACTATGTTGCCCAGGCTGGTCTCGAACTCCTGGGCTCAAGCAGTCCTCCCTCCTCAGCCTTCCAAAGTGCTGGGGTTACAGGTGTGAGCCACTGTGCCTGGTGGCGTGGAGTTTTGATGGAAGAGGATACCAGGGGTGAGACTGGGCCCACTGCAGTAGGCTTTGGCGGCATGAGGACACTGCACAGTGTACAGGGGAATGGGAGAGGTTTCCGGAGAGGACGATGGGAGGGTGCCAAGGATGGTGTGGCTCACATCAAAGGAACTCCTGCTGGTTTTCCTTTTCATTCTTCCTCTGTGGCAGCTCTTGGAAATCGGTCCAGGTAGTTTTCAGCCTCACAGTGGGTGGGATGGATTAATTTGTGGGCTAGCCTTTTGGAAGTTTAACTATTTCTGTGCAGCTAACTTTGTGGCAAAAGCATACTTTGTTCCCACCCAACAGCTAGTTTATAGTTACATCCTCTTTGTAATTGAGTTCTTCCGGGTATATTCCCAGTAGGGGGATTATGGGGTCGTGTGGAAGGTTGATTTTTAGATCTTTTAGGAATTGCCAAACTGTTTTCCACAGAGACTGTATTAATTTACACTCCCAAGTGTAGAGGTGTTCTCTTTTCCCTGCATCCTCTTCAACATCTGTTGTTTTTTGAGTTTTGGGGGGGGGTTGAGTTGGAGTCTCTGTCACCCAGGCTGGAGAGCAGTGGCATGATCCCAGCCACCGCAGCCTTTGTTTGGCTTACAGATACTCTTGGGAGATTCGGTGAGCATGACAATAGGGTCAGCCAAGAGAAGTGACACACAGAGCCCTCAGGTGGAGCGTGGATTCTCACTCTGTCTCAAGAGGCAATCCTCTTGCCAAAGCATGAGCCATTTCAAGAGATTCTCACTCCTTCTATGGTGATGTATTTAGGCAGGATGGGACTAGGCAACGTAATCATGTGTGTTTAGGTAGATGTAACTATTCCAGGTAAAATGGGTGGGCGCATATGGGTGTTTTTGTGCTGGGGAACCTTGACGACTTTGCTGTGTCTTTTGCAGTGTGGTGTTCCTGGCGTTTGCGTCGCATCCTACAGGTAAATGCCTCTCAAATGGGTTTTGTTTGTTTTGTGTTGCCCATTCAATACACTGGGCATGTCTCTGAGAAACGTTTCCTAAGAAAACATGTCTGCCTCTCAGGATGTCAAACTGAGAGGTCAGAAATGGCCCACATATTTGAAACTGCTCCTGATGACCTGTTATGGATTGACTGCCCAGGAATGTATTCTTATTCCCTCTTTTTGTTTTTAGAAGGAGGTCTATCCAAGTTGCCCAGGCTGGTCTCGAACCCCTGGGATCAGGTAATCCTCTTGCTTCTGCCTCCCAAAGTGCTGGGATTACAGACGTGAGCCACCATGCCTGGCCTCTTATTCCCTCTTGAATGTCACTGTCTGTGTTTCATCGGGTGCAATTGCAGATATGTAGACAGGGCTGTTACCTGCCGGGTAAACCGCTGCTTGTTTTGTCCCCTTCGAAAATTTCTTTTCCAAGTGTCCAGAATTGCCTGTCAGTTCCAGCACCAGAGGATTTGGTGGAAAAGTTCACAGTCACTCTATATCTTTTCTTTTAAAAAATTTTTATTTTAAATATGTGGGCTGCAATTCAGGTATACTAATGTTCATCATGTAGGTACCCTTGTTGATGAGGTGTGCACACCCTCCCCAGGCAGATTCTCACTATTGCTAATCCCGCCCCTCCTCCACCAGCAGTTTCCCACTACTGCCAATCCTTTTCTTAAAGTATTATGATAATTGTTCAAGATCCATTAATGAGTGAGAACATGTGATACTCAGTTCTTTGTTTCTGTGATAGATCACTCAGTATTATAGACTCTAAGTCCATCCAAGTTGCTGTGACGTTCATAATTTTGTCCTTCTTTATGGCTATATAATATTTCGTTGTGTATATGTACCACATTTTTAAAATCCAGTTCTCTTTCAATGGGCAGCACGGTTGATTCCATGTTTTTACTATTGTGAACAATGCTGCAATAAACATACGTGTGCAGATATCTTTTTTATAGAGTGATTTGAGTTCCTCTGGGTATATTCCCAGTAGGGGGATTGCGGGGTTGTATGGAAGATCGATTTTTAGAACTTTTAGGAATTGCCACACTGTTTTCCATAGAGGTTGTATTAGTTTACACTCCTACCAACAGTGTAGAAGTGTTCCCTTTCCCCTGCATCCTCTTCAGCATCTGTTGTTTTTAGGGCTTTTTTTTTTTTTTTTTTTTTTTTTTTGAGTTAGAGTCTCACTCTGTCATCCAGGCTGGAGGGCAGTGGCATGCTCCCAACCACCACAGCCTCGACCTGCTCAGGCGATCCTTCCACCTCAGCCTTTCAAGTAGCTGGAACAATAGACATGCATTACCATGCCCAGGTACTTTTTTGACTTATTGTAGAGATGAGGTCTTGCCAATTTGCCTACATTAGTCTCAAACCCTCAGGCTCAGGCAGTCCTCTCACTTCAGCCTCCCAAAGTGCTAGGATTATAGGTATGAGCCCCTGCGCCCAGTGTTTTTTGATTTATTGATGATGGCCATCCTGATTGGAGTTAGGTGGTATCTCAGTGTGGTTTTAATTTGCATTTCTTTGATGACTAGTGAGGCTGAGCGTGTTTTCATGTTTCTGTTGGCTGTCCGTATGTCTTCTTTTGAGAAATGTCTATTCATATCTTTTGCCCACTTTATAATGGGGCTCACCCTATTTCTTGCTGACATCATTATATGAATTTGTATTATGTCACTGTCCAATTTTCATAGTTCCAGAATAAAGATAATTTTTAAAAGTTATCTTCACCTGTTGCTGCCTCAGTTACTCCAAAGTTGCTTTTCACATTCAGGAATTACCCAAAGTACTCTATTCCATCGTGTTTTTTTGTTTGGTTTGGTTTTACCTTGAAAGGCTTTGAAGTTGATGCCAAAGATAAAACAATAATATCTGTGTGTGGCATGGCTGAAAATACACATTTTATTGGTAGTGCTCCTTGTGGCTTAGTGGAGTGTGATGGGAAGAACATTGACTCTGAATGATTGGAACTTCCCTTGGCTCCCTCCCTGAGTAACCTTAAGACTTTTTTTAGGCTGGAATCCCAGCACTTTGGGAGGCTGAGGTGGGAGGATTGCTTGAACCTAGGAGTTTGAGACTAGCTTGGGAACATAGTAAGACCTTGTCTCTACAGATTAAAAAAAAAAACTCAGTCATGATGGTGTGTGCCTGTAGTCCCAGCCTACTCTGAGGCTGGGGTGGGACAATCAATTGAGTTCAGGATTTGGAGGCTGCGGTGAGCCATGATCATGCTACTGCACTCCAGCCTGGGCAACAGAGTGAGACCCAGCTGGAAAAAAAAAGACACACGGGAGAGTTAGGCTCTGTGAGTACAGTTTGTTTTGAAAAATCTGTTGATACTTCCTAACATTTTAAGGCAAGGCTCAATTTTTAAAAATTTCTTCTTACCCCTTTTTTTTGTTACTTGTGTCTTAGCTATTTGGTAGTACTTTTTAAAAATTTTAAATTGAGATATAATTTGCATATATGAAATACACATATGTTAAATGTACAGCTTGTTCACTTTTGGCAAATGTGCATACTCGTGTGACTCACACCCCTGTCAAGATGTGGAACATTTCTGTCACTGCAGAAAGTTTCCTCATGCCCTTCTTAGTCATTGCCTCTCACCAACATGGATGCCTTTACTGATCTGATTTTTTTTTTTTTTTTTTTTTATAATACTACATTTTATTTTTATTTTTATTTATTTTTATTTATTTTTTGAGTTGGAGTCTCATTGTCACCCAGACTGGAGTGCAGTGGCCACTCCCGGCCACCGCAGCCTCGACCTGCTGGGCTCTGGCGATCCTTCCGCCTCAGCCTTCCAAGTAGCCGGAATTACAGGCATGCGCTACCACGCCCGGCTGATTTTTTGATTTATTGTAGAGATGAGGTCTCGCCTGCCCAGGTGAGTCTCGAACCCGCGAGCTCAGGCAATCCACTCACCTCAGCCTCCCAAAGGCGCGGGATTACAGGCTGAGCCACCGAGCCCGGCTTGATCTGATTTTTTATTGCCACTCATGATTTCTGTCTATTCTCCGGCCTTGTATAAGCAGATTCATCAGTATTTTTGTGTCTTCCTCTTACCTTCAGCATTGTGTTTAGAGATTCATTCATATCGTGAATGAATTGTATATATCATGAGTTTGTTCCTTTGTGCTGTAGAGTAGGGCTATGTTGTGTGCACATGCCACATTTTGGTTATCCGTCCACCTGTTGGTACTCACCTTGGCTGTTCCCAGCTTGTGGCTATTATGAATAGCCAAAACGCAGCTATGAACATTCTTACAGGAGACTTTTTGTGGACTTATACTTTCATGTCTCTTGAGTACCTAGGAGTAGGATTACTAAGTCTTAGAATAGGTGTATATTTAACTTTCTAAGAAAGTGCCAGTTTTCCAAAGTGTACCATTTTGCACTCCCACAGCAGTGTATAAGAGTTCCAGTTGCTCCACACCCTCACCAGTTTTTGATGTTGTCAGTTTTATTTTAACCATTCTAGTGGGGTGTGTAAGGGATAGTGCTTTGCCTGAGGTTCCCTCTTACTCACTCCCAAGTGACTAGAAAGATGAGCTCTCTTGCAGGTGCAGCTTTGGGATGCACTAGGCAGTGGTGGTAGGAATCAGGTTGCTGATCAGTCTCCATGCCCTGGGCGTGGGCCTCACCACAGGGTTTGCTGCATGGCAGGTAAAATCCACCTCCTTTCTAGCCTTTTGACCTCACAGTTCATGTCAAGGCTCCAAGAATCTTGGAACCTTCCTTGAGACGAATACCACCTTTTCCCTCTCACTGTCTTAAGCAGTATTAGAGAAGAGTTTGCACTTCCAACTTGTCTGAGGCCCCTTGGCCATAGTGTTTAAGAGAGAGAGAATTTAAAGGGACCAGAGGAGTGGGGGACTCACAGGAATCTGCTCCAGAAGTAACCGTGTTACCTGGTGTGTCTGTTGCTCATGTGTGAGACAAAGCAGGCAGTTCCCTGGAACTGACCTGCCGTTTCCCTGTCAGCTCTGAGAGGGGAAATGTGAGAGGACATTTTCTTCGTGTTCAAATATCAGTTCATCTTGAATGTGGTACTACTGTACCACGCTTTTCACCGTGGCAATTTCATGCTCCGTAATCTTCAGAGAAATGGAATTCACTGCTTTACTCAGAGTCAGCAGAATTTTAACTGTGGAACACAATGGTGAGGGCTCAAGTCAGACTTTATGTATAAGCTGCTTATTGTTGCCACCACACAAGTTTACAACTCTTTAGCCACTTAATTGCTTACATTGTGCAGTCCTGCACTAGATGGTGCAGGAGTGTTGTCTGGTGAGCATCTTTACACATTTTTTTAGGCTCTTGGATCGAGTTCACATGCGGTTGGGGCCGGCTGGCCACCCGCTGCAACCTCTTCCGGGATATTTTTAGCACAGTCACTCACATTCGCTGTGTAGGGGTTGCTGTGCGCCCTCTCGGTTAAACAGTGCTCTTTGGGTAAAAGAGAAGGGAGATTGAAGGCATCAAAGGGGAATAAATATTTGAGGTTGACTCGGAACTGAGAACCACATAGCCAACTGGAAAGCAAAAGAGAGCCAAGTCTTTTAGATAATCTCAAGTTGATAGCGCTGGTATGTTGGAGATGGTGCTGCAACACAGTGGGTACAGTGATGAGTGAAACAGACTCCTTGCTGTCAAGAACTTGATCCTTTTAGGAGGAGGGACAGGTACGAAAGTCAGCTGAGTACCGTGTGAAAACTATGTGAAGGTTTTAGAAACGGCTCAGAGGTAAGGGCAAGCCATTCTCTTATTATTTCTTTCTCAGCAAGTCATGGAATCCGTTTTTGGGATTTAGGTAGGGGTTGTTGTCTAAGTGGTAAATTCCCTAGGATTATGATCGTTTCTTTATTTTCCTCCTTCCAGACTTCCTCTGACCACTTCTCTGCTCCTTAGACCCCTCCAAAGCCTGGGGGGAGGGCATAAAAGTTGGCAACATGCCTTGAGTCCAGTTCACCCCTGTGGAGTGCTTCTGATAAAAGGCTGAGTGCTGGGAGGGGGCACAGCCCGGGGAGTCTCAGGGTCCTGGAGGTCCTTGATCTCCCTCTCTGCCGCTCCTCATTAGCACGCTGACTGGCTACAGTTTCTCTCACAATTGGGAAGGGGCCAAGAACCCACAGCTGCCCAAGAGACAGAACAAATTCTCCCCTCCACCTGCCCAAACCAGGGCTCTGGCCACTCTCTAGGTACAGCATCCCCAGGGTTACCTCAGCTGTCACTTCTGTGGGGCAGGGGACTTCAGAATATATCCATGCTCTTCATGCAGTAGGAGGCAGGCTGACGTCATTCATAAGTTCCCTGCATCAGCAGAGGTCCTGATGACACAGCAGCGATATTCAGTGGAATCAAGGCAGAAAGACAACAAGAACTCTTAACCTCTTGTTGGGGGACGCAAAAACCAGATCCCAAGAAACCCTCTCCTTTTAGTGAAACACACACACATGCACCAATGAAACAAACAAAGAAAAATGATAGTCATGAGCTGGGCGTGGTGGCTCATGCTTATAATCCCAGCACTTTGGGAGGCTGAGGCCAGGAGTTCAAGACTAGCTTGGACAGTATAGTGAGACCTTGTCTCTGCAAATGTGGAAGGGAAGGAGGGAGGGAATAACAGTCAGGATTAAAAATCCTCCAGAGAAATAGAATTCAGAACTTTCTTTTCCAATAGGTTGTTGAGTCCTTTGAGATCATTTAGGTCTCCAAGAATGCATAGAAGACGGTTGTGTCTTTTGTTCTGAAACTTGATTAGCAGGTGCAGTGGTGAAGGGAACAATACCTGTGTGTACCACTGCACGTTGAATATACTGTGAACACTTAGGTAAATCAACTCTCTCCTTCCAGCTCCCCCAAAACCGAGAGACAGGCCAAGGCCCAGGGGCCTGGAGGCCCAGGCTCCAGGGGTTCAGAAATTCCAGATTTGGAAGGATTAAGCTATCTGCTGTGGAAATGCTTAATTCCTTTTCTCTGGACATTTTTGGAAGGCTTTCTGCTTTTTTAATCTCCAGGCTTCTTGTTTGTGACCAAGTTCAAATTCCAGAGAGGGAAGCAGCCAATATGTGTGATTATTTCCTCTTGCACCAAGTAGAACTAAAAGAATGAGCTTACTTCACGAGAAGTAAATGTTCCCTTTGGACCTCAAACTGACATGAGTATGCATAGTTGGTCTAGCCCCTGCCCGCTTTGTGCAGTAATTAAACATGAAAATGAAAAAGCTGTCAGGGCAATACATTCAATACCTTCTTTTAGATATAAGTCAGAAAAGAAGAAAATGCTTTTTTTTAAATTGGAAAATATAGTTTATTTAGAAAGAAGTGAGAGAGAAGAGATTCACCTCTCCAAGGTAGGGAAGGAGACCAAAGCTAAGAAAACATGGCAGCCATAGCTCAAAGAATACATGGCCTGGCCAGTGCTTAACAAAACAATGACCAAGAAGAAAAGACTCTTTAAAAAAAAAAAAGATTGTTTTTTTGCTGCATGCTCCCTTTTGCAGGAACAGCTGCCTGGTAAAGAGGAGAGATCCTAGTTTTTGAGTTGTGCAATCTTAGACATGTCTCTCAACTTCTCTGAATGCCAGTTGGAATGGGGATAATAGAACCTCACAGAGTTGTTATGAGGGTGGAAAGAGATAAATACATAAAGCTTTTCGCACAGGGCCCTGCACAAGGCATGCTCTATCCTGTTATTTTCATTATAAGACAATGCCGAAAACAGAATCCCTAGGAATGCCAGAGTGAGTTCAATGCCAGGCATTTGCTGTGCTGAAGCCCCTTACCTTGTGTCTCCTAGGGAAGTGGGGAACAGGGGCGTGTGGGGCCATGTGGGTCATTGTTTCACCCTTGCTGTGCCCCTCAGGCGATCTCTTCAGCGTCCTGGACTTCCCGTTCCTGTATTTCTACAGATTCCACGGCAGCTGCTGTGCCAGGTAATCTTGAACTTACTCATTTGTATGTTTTCTATGCTGTCAGCAGTGTCTTTCCCTCTGTGAAGTCCACGGTCACAGCCAGTGACATGAATGAGTGGTGGGTTTGTGTGAGGAAGCAGTTGCACACTTATCAGCAGGTTGTCACTTGAGCACCCTCAGGCTCTCAAGGCCAACCTGGGCCCTGCAAGGATACCTGGCCTGTGGAAGTGCCTCCACCAGGGCAATGTTTTTCAGACTTCCTGAAGAACTAAGATTCCCCCACCCTTTTTTTCTCTCCACAATCAAATGTCACACAGAGGTTCAATATATAAGACTGATTTGGCCATGGCTCAGCCTATAATCCCAGCACTTTGGGAGGTCAAGGCAAGTGGATTGCCTGAGCCTGCAGGTTCGAGACCAGCCTGGGCAACTTGGCAAGACCTTGTCTCTAAAAAATAAAAAAAAAATTAGATGGGTGTGGTAGCCCTCCTGTAGTTCCGGCTACTTGGAAGACTGAGGTGGAAGGATTGCTGGAACCCAGGAGGTTGACACTGGGGTGACCGTGAGCTTGCTACTGCACTCCAGGCTGGGTGATAGAGTGAGACTCTCACTCAAAAAAAAATCCCCCAAAATACTGATTCAATTCTTGGGAGATTTGGGACCAGAATTCCACCCTCTCTACATCCACCTTGGCCTCCCTCTGTCTCCTGAAGGCCACCTCCAAGATAACCTCCAGCAGACCCTAAGACCCTAAGACTTCTAACAAACAGATCTGGGAAACTAGCGACTGGGAGACTCTAGACAGCAAGGTGACTGATGATTAGTATTGGACCTTGGGAAGGTCTTGAGGATGTAGACCATTTAGACTGATACATTTGAATGCATGGAAATTTCTGATTACCGCTTCACTTTATTATGCTAAGAAGTGGAGAGGCTTCTTGGGACTGTCTCAAAGCATGGAAGGTATTCTGATATGGCGGGAAAACATAACCTGGGGTGAACCCCAGGATTGCTGCTTGCTAATTGTATGGTCTTTGGGTAAATTATCCAAGTTCTCCCAAGCCTTAGTTTTCTCTCTGTAATATGGAAATATAGCACTAATAGAGGGCTGTTTTATGTATTCGATTACATATATAAAGTCCTAAGCATTGTACCTGGCCCAATAAGTGTGGTCTTATTGTCATCTGACTATAAAGGCAATGTCAACAAACCACTAGCAATTGCTACATAAAAGTCACACCAGCTGTTCCCACACATATAAAATGGTACCTTGTAAAGCAGTGAGTCTTTACAGAGAGTTAAAAAGCTGCTGTGTGGCTAGGCACTGTTGCTGATGGTGTATGTCTTCCCACTCAGGTGTGTTGGTGAAAAAAAGAAAAAGAATCAATATTGTAGAGTTTGTTTCTGCATTTGAGCCCCAGAATGATTAATTTATTACCCTCAGAAAAATTTTGGGAAACTGACAGAATGCATTTTCCCAGTTCCTGTCATTTGAAACCTGATTCCTTACCCATTAGTGGGGATCACACAGTATGAGTCTTCGTATGTCGTGGGTGTCGTGGGTGTCTGGCTATTTGGCAGCACAGGCAAGCAGGGTGTGAGGGCAGGTCAGTGATTCTTTGATTATTTGGGACAGAGTGACACTGTTCACAGCCCACTGGTGCTGGCTTTGTGGGTTGACATTCGGGCTCTATTTCCACCCCTTTTAATCTGCAACTTTCTCGTAACGCAACATGACAAATCAGGTGTTTTTACTTTAAAGATTTGGGAATCTCTGTTTGAATTGATTTAAGTCTCTGTTATATTTTGCCCCTGGCTTCAGTACAGAGTTCAGCCTCTTTCAGGAATGTGTCAGTTTTCCCTGTGTCATTTTGATGGCTCCTCCATGACCGTATCTCAGATTGAGAGTTGTCACCTTCAGAAGATCCTAGAGGAGCTCAGGAGGGGTCATGGAGCTCTGGGGAAACATGGGAACCATAGCCTGAAGACCCTATTAGCAGAGAGTCTTCTGCTCCCAGGCTCCTTGACTTCTGGGAACCTTCCTCAGCTTTTCAGATCTGCCTCCTTAGCAAAGGATAGAAGACCTGAAAATGGAAGGAGAAGGATTAGGGACTCATGAGTAATTTAGAAATGGTTCACAGACATACACATCAAGCCATGGGAAAGAGCCCTAAATGCTTCCATAAATGTGTTGGTCATAAACAGGGACTAGCTTATTCTAGCCCAGAGTCTGAGCTGAAGAGACAGGTTGATGTGGAATCACTCTGGCTGGAGGTAGAGAGGAGAGACCCAAGGGGAAGGAGGTGTGGGAGGTTGTACAGGTACCTGTGAAGTTGTCACCTACTTGGACTTAGGGGTGGGAGCACCAAGCAGAGCCTGGAACTTTTCAACCATATCCTCAGGGCCACAGGCACCTGAAGCATCTCACTCTGTGTCTGGTGATCAAGAACACATTTCCAGCCAGGCGTGGTGGCTCATGCTTGTAATCTCAGCACTTTGGTAGGCTAAGGTGAGAAGATTGCTTAAGCCCAGGAGTTCAAGACCATGGGCAACATGGCGAGACCTCGTCTCTATAATTAATCAAAAAATCAGCCTGGCATGGTGGCACATGCTTGTAGTCCCAGCTACTTAGGAGACTGAGGTGGAAGGATCACCCGAGCCTGGAGGTCGAGACTGCTGTAGCTGTGAGTGTGCCACTGTACTCCAGCCTGGGCGACAGAGTGAGACTCCAACTCAAAACAAAAACGAAAACAAACTAATTTCCATGGTGAAATTTGAAGAGACATCAGATCTGAATTCTAATTGTGCCCGTGCCTCAGTTTCCTTCTTTATTTTTGGGGGGTTTTTTTTGAGTTGGAGTCTCACTCTGTTGCCCAGACTGGAGTGCAGTGGCTGCTACCAGCCACCACAGCCTCGATCCACTGGGCTCCAGCTATCCTTCTGCCTCAACCTTCCGAGTAGCCGGAACTACAGGCGTGTGCTACCACACGTGGCTAATTTTTTTTGATTGTAGAGATGAGGTCTCACCAAGTTGCCCAGGCGAGTCTCAAGCCCAGGGCTCAGGCAGTCCACTCACCTCAGCCTCCCAAAGCGCGGGATTACAGGCTTAGCCACCGAGCCTGGCTAGTTTTCTTCTTAATAGTGTGAAGCTTTGGGGCTAAGTGACCTTCCTGTTCTAAAAGTCTCCATTTCCATGAGATAGGAGGAGGATTGCTATGCTTATTCCTGTTTTAAGAACACTGAACCAGATGTGAGAAAAAGGTGAGAAGAGATTTGGTTTAGGTTATGAGGGTCAGTGAGCACAGCTAAGAATAGAAATTCGGGTCACTTGGAGTGATGGGGTCAGCCTGCTGTTTGCCCTCAGGGCCTTGATATCTTCATCTATAACTGTTCAGGCTCCATGACCTGATCAGAACGAATTTTGCAGGTCACCAGGGCCAAACAGGTTGAAATATACACAGAGGAAACCTAATGCCTGTCTCTGGTCCCACCCCAAGGATGTGACTGTGAACTAATGAAGTGAAGGTACACATTTTGGTGACATTTTGCCTTAGGTGTGTTTAATTCAATTCAACTTGCTTCCAACTCAACCTGCAAACATTTATTTAGTACATACTATGGCTGAGACACCATGTAGGCTCTGTTGGGGAAAATACTAACAACCCAAGATGGGACCCTTCCCTCTCAGAGCTTAAGATCTGTGTTGGAGCCAATACCTAATGAGGTCAGAGGCGGTGTGGCACTCAAGGCTCTGGAGGAACAAATGAAGTACAGCTCACACAGTTTGCCCCTCTGGCTTGGGGTACAACTGTAGTCACGTCTCTTACTCTGGAATGATCAATTTTAAGTAAAAATCACACTCAAGGCACCCCTTGCACACATTTGTTAGAAGGTAGCCTCTCTCTGTCTCTTGCAATCTGCCTCCCTTGTTCCCCAACTGTCCTGCCTCCAAATGTGAGGAAGATTTGGAGCTCCCTTTGCTTTGTCCCTTACCACACAGTGGCACTTTTGAAAAATGGTCTTAGCACAGGCAACTACATCTCTGTCCTCTGCTGGGCCAGTGCCCTTGCTGGTCCAGATCTCTGAGTGGTCCCACGATGCTGCCCCAGCCTCAGGCTCCTGTGAGTGGTGATCACTCATTTCACCACATGTGTGTAGGCAGCATTTCCAAAGCATGGTTTGGGAATCAGCCTCTGGGTCATCCTGGTCTGGGGGACTTCTGTATGGATCAGCATGGTTTGGGGGACTTCTGGAACCACACGTGTCATGGGAGCCAGCCTTTCCCTTCAAATTCTTATGAGCCCAGGGGCCAGCACACACTCTCTCTTCTCATGTGAAAATTTCCGTTTTGAAGTCTTTTCCTGCCAGTTTGTTTTGCTTGAAAAACATTGAAGCTCTACCTTGGCAATCACCAAAACTCCAGAAGTAATATGGAAAGGAATAGGAAATGTTGCCCTCTGCGTTTTTCTTTCCTTCCTTCCTTCCTTCCTTCCTTCCTTCCTTCCTTCCTTCCTTCCTTCCTTCCTTCCTTCCTTCCTTCCTTCCTTCCTTCTTTCCTCTTTCTGTCATCAGGGGCTAAGCCCAGGCTGGAGTGCAATGGCATGATCACAGCTCACCACAGCCTCAGCCTACGGGGCTCAGACGATTCTTCCTTCTCAACCTCCCATGTTGCCAAAACAACACGTGTGTACAACTACACCCAGCTAAATTTTTGATTTATTGTAGAGACAAGGTCTTGCTATGTTGCCCAGGCTGGTCTCAAACTCCTGGACTCAAGCAGTCCTCTTGCCTTGGCCTCCCAGGTATAAGCCACTGTACCTGGCCCTCTTTTCTTTCCTGATTTAAACAGAGATCTTCCACATTTCTATGCCCCCACCCCTACCACCAATGAAATGTTTCCACCATAACACCTTAGAAAAGCAGAGCTTTAATGGGTTTTCCATTTGGGATATTTTAATCCAGAGATCACTAGAAAATGCAGTTTAGATAGGAGATGTGTAATAATTCGAAATTGACTGGTAAAATGTAGCAGAAACAAGTCAGCTATTGGCTAAAGGAAGACAAGCCTCACTAACAAAACAATATTTTCTCCTTCCAGCGGAATTTTTGGATTCTTTCTCATGGTCAGCACAGTGAAGCTGAAAAGCCTTCTAGCCCCTGGGCAGGGTGCAGCCTGGATTTTCTTTGCTAAGGTAAGAGAGAGGAGAGTGGTGGAAAGCTCTCTCTCAAGAACCTGAGTGTCCCGTGTTCTCAGAGCCTGGTAATGTGACATTGCATCTTTCATGAAACCATTTCTAGGCCCTGTTCCTGAGTCTGATCCTCATTCAGGTGACAATTTCTGAGACCTGCCACCTGTTTTATTAGTGTGACATATTTCATCTTTATCATATTTGTGGAAGGTGATCATGGGCAGACCCCTGAACCTTAACTTATCCTTCTGAAAATGAGAGATTTTGCAAACATCTCTAAGGCTTCTCCAGCTCTAAGGGACTGGACTCCTAGATGTGTGGGGCAGTTCGTGCCTTCTTTCTTTGGGGTTGTGAAAGTATCCAGCGCTCGAGTGGTTTGCCCAAGAGGACCCGGCCTAGCCAATGTGAACAAATAAAGGAAATAGACAACTGACCAAGTTGAGCACTTCCAGGAAGCCTTTGAAAAGGGAACTATTCTAAGAACGGCCTTTGTGTATCAAATGACCATTGGGCATAAGATAAAGTAGTGGGTAAACTGCAAAGAAACAGAAGGAGCAAGAGAGTGGCTGTGGGAGGCACAATCTTAACTGAAATGCTTCGGCCCCAGCTTTTTTCTCTCAGCACATTTCATTTCCCTAGTGTCTGTGAAGGAGTCAAGTTGCAGGGCCCGAGGTGCTGCTTCTAAGGGGTGAGGTCTCTTAATTAATTTAACCTCATGAAATCACTATTTAAACTTGGGCCTTTAGTCTTCTTACTGTTTTTTTTAGTTGATTCTTTCCCAGAAAGCAGCAATTTTCCTTTGAAAATAAGATTTCATTGTGATATTTTCACCCACATGGTCTATTTTTAAATTAATCATTTCAATTCCAGCATAATGTCAAGAGTGGTTGAGATATTGATTTCTAGCAGGACAGAGTGAGGAGGTCAATGAAACCGCTTCCCAAAAGGCAACTAGAAAGCAGGAAAAGAACTTTCAAAAATGCCCATTTCAGCTCTTTAGAAATTGACCAAGAGCATACAACAAACTGAGAATCATTTGTTCATGAAAACTGCTAAACTGGGTAGGAACAAAATGAATTCGTGATGTTCTTGTCTGTTGTTGGCTCCCATTCCCTCCCATTTCCTTCTTTCTAGCTTCGTCTGTGTGGTAGTTCAACCAGAGTAGGGCAGGCAGCAACCTTGTGGCTGCTTCTGGAAAGGACTCACTCTATTTGGAGAATTGTCCATCAAAGTAGCCAACTTGGTGGTAAATGAACAGGAAACACCAGTAGCTCTACTAGCTTGAGTTTATAGTCCTCTTTGGAGCAAGCAATGGACTGGCGGTCTAGCTGAGGCTTAATAGGTAGTTCTGGGAGGTAAGATGGCCATCAGGGACTTGATAGCTCTCCATATAACCCAGATTGAGCTTAGTCAGTATGTATGAACAGCAGCGGTGAGCAGGCTCCCATCCCTGACCAACGGAGCCTGCATGCACGCTCAGAGGAGATGTGAGAGAGCCAGCAGAAAGTAAAAGCCAGGGTGGACGTAAAAACAGCTTGAGGTTTGAATGTGCTCTGCAGCCCACACACACAGGAGCAGAGAGAAGGCTTTCTGGCTCAAGGTATTGGAGCAAAACTTCTGGCTAGTCTTTGCCAGAATGCTAAGCTATGCAGACATGGGGATGACCCCTAAAAAAAAAAAAAAAAACAAGAAAAAACAAAACAAGAAAAAAAAAACAACAAGTAAAAACACCAGCAACTGTATCTTGTGTGGGAAGCAGATTTTACAGACGTAGTCCAGGAAAATTACTAATTAAGCAAAACAACAATAACAACTCTTATGGGAAAAGTCAGAATTCAGAGTTACTACCGTATATTATCTGAGAGTTTCTGTATTCAGAAAAAAGAAAAAAGATTAAGAGGCATTCAGAAACACAAAATGTAATCTGTGTATGGGAAAAGAAAAGCAGTCAATAGGAGCTATCTCTGAGTGTCTGTCCTCAACTGTAGGACTTTATTGAAAAGGACTACAAATCAGCTATTTAAGTATGTTCAGAGATGGAAAATAAATTTTATTTAAAGAATAAAGGAAAGGATCAGTGATTAACAAATCTGAGTAAAAAAAGTAGATATTATTTTTCTAAAAACCAAATGGAAATTCTGGAGTTGAAAAGTCCAGGAACGGAAATGAAAATTCTCTAGAGAGACTCAACAATAAATCTGAGATGGCAGAAGAAAGAAGAAGTGAACTGGAAGGTAAAGCAACATAAATTATTCAATCTAAAGAACAAAGTCTTTTTTTTTAATTGAATAAATGTGAGCAAAGCCTAGAGATCTGTGGACCATCAAGCATATTAACATATCTGTAATAAGATTCTAAGAAGAAGAGAAGAAAAGATAGAAAAATATTTGAAGAGATAATGGCTGAAAACTCCCCCAGTTTGATGAAAAACATTAATTTACAGATCCAGGAAGCTGAGTGAATCCCAAGTAGGATAAACAAAAAAAAAGATCATTATAATCACACTGTTGAAAGGCAAAGAGGAAGTCTTGAAAGCAGCAAGAGGAACATTTGGAGAAACAATAATACAATTAATGGCTAACTTCTCATCGAAAACAGTGGTGGGATGACATTCCACATGCTGAAAGAAAAACTTTATAACAGGAAATATTACTAGAGAAGAAAATAGAGACTTTTAATAATGATAAAAGCATTAATACACTGGGAAGATATAACAGCACCCCAAAATATAGAAAACAAAAAATATTAGAAAAAATAAATAGACTTTAATAATAATAGTTGGAGATTTCAATACTATACTGTCAGTATTGTTGATAGAACAGTTGGTAGAACAACTCAAGAATATAGATGACTTTGAACAACACTATCGACCAGTTGACACTCCACCAATTGACTTCCCAGTACACAATAGTCTCAAGTACACATGGAACATTGTCGACGATAGATGATATACTGTGTGAAAAAACAAGTCCCAGTGAATTTTAAAAGACTGATATCATATAATGTTCTCTGACCACAGCAGAATTAAATTTGAAATTCACAACACACAAAAAATAGGAAAATCCCATTCACTTGGAAATTAAGTATACTATTAAATAGTTCATGTATCAAAGACGGAATTACAAGGAACATTAAAAATATTTTGAATCGCTGGGCTCGGTGGCTCAGCCTGCAATCCCGCGCCTTGGGAGGCTGAGGTGAGTGGATTGCTTGAGCCCATGGGTTCGAGACCCACCCGGGCAACGTGGTGAGACCTCATCTCCACAATAAATAAAAAAAATTAGCTGGGCGTGGTAGCACACGCCTGTAGTTCCAGCTACTTGGAAGGCTAAGGCGGAAGGATCGCTGGAGCCCAGCAGGTCGAGGCTGCGGTGGCCGGGAGCAGCCACTGCACTCCAGTCTGGGCGACAGAGTGAGACTCCAACTCAAAAATATATATATATATATTGAATCAAATTAAAACAGAAGTACAATATATCAGAAATTGTGGATGGAGCCAGAGTAGTGTTCAGATGGCAATTTATACCTATAAACACCCATATCAGAAAAGAAAAAAGTTCTCAAATCAAGAAACTGTGCCTCCATTTAGAAAAGAACACAGGGCAAGCTAAACTCAGAGTAAGCAGAAGGAAGGATATAATAAAGTTTAGTGTGGAAATTAATGAAATAGAAAGCAAAAGCAATATAGAATATCTTTGAAAAAATTAACAAGCCTCTAACTAGACTGACCAAGTAAGAGAGAAGATACAAATTATAAAAATTAGAAATGAAAGAAAGGACATTACTATAGAAGGAAAGAATTGCATATTATAAATAATTTCATGTTTTGAATAAATTTTATATCAGCAAATTAGGCAATTTAGGTGAACAAATTCCCAGAAAGGAACAAGCTAGGAAAACGGACTCAAGAAGAAATGGAAAATCTGAATACATCCCTAACAAGTGAATCAGTGTAAATAGTAATTTAAAATCTTTCTTAGATTTAAGAAGAAAGGCATGGTGGCCCATACCTATAATCCCAGCACTTTGAGAGGCAGAGGCGAGAGGATTGCCTGAGCCCAGGGATTCAAGACCAACCTGGGTAACTTGGTGAGACCTTATCTCTATAATAAATCAAAAAATTAGCTAGGTAATTTTTGGTGGTAAGGGTGCCTATAATCCTGGCTACTTAGAAGACTGAAGGTGGAATGATCGTCTGGGCCAGCAGGTTGAGGCTGCTGTGGCTGTGAGTATGCCATTGCACTTCAGCTTGGCAACAGAGTAAGACTTCAACTAAAAAAAAGATGTTTTTTTGAAGAAAGAAAAGCCCAGGTATAGTTGGCTTTATTGATGAATTTTATCAAATATTTAATGAAGAATTTCTGGAGCCGGGCGCTGCCTCAAGTCTGTAATCCCAGCACTTTGAGAGGCTGAAGCGAGAGAATTGCCTGAGCTTGGGGGTTCGAGACCAGCCTGGGCAACTTGACGAGACCTTGTCTCTACCATAAATCAAAAATATTAGCTGGGCATGGTAGTGCATGCCTGTAGTTCCAGTTACTTGGAAGTACTTCCAGCCTGGGTGGAAGGATCACCTGAGCCCAGCAGGTCAAGGCTGCGGTGGCCAGGAGCATACCACTGTACTCCAGCCTGGGCGACAGAGTGAGACTTCAATTCTAAACAAATAAAGTAAAATAAAATAAAGAAGAATTTCTTTTCTTTCTTTCTTTTTTTTTTTTTTACAAATTCTTTTAGAAACCAGAGGAGGAGGGAATAGCTCCCTATTTATTCTATGAAGTAAGTTATCCAGATACTAAAGCCAGACCAAAAAATCATAAGAAAACTACGTGCCAATATCTCTCATAAACATAGATCCTTAACAAAATATTAGCAAACCAAATTTGGCAACATATAAAAAGGATTATACACCATGGTCAAGTGGATTTATCCCAGAAACGCATAGTTGATCTAATATATGAAAATTAATTAATATAATACGTTCTATTACTAGAATAAAGAACAAAAAT